CCCTTGTAAATGTGAGAGCTAGCCAGGCAATGATCAAGATGACTAAGCAGCCTTAGGGATGTGTGAGTCAGTGGGCTAATGCAAGAGCATTTAGTTTCATGACATGTCTCTTAGTCATCTTCATAAAGGATTCATTGTTTCAGAAAAGTAAGGGACTCATAAATGGTGCGAAGCAATGATTTCATTTGATAAAAATTAAATTCACTGCTTTGACAAAAACAAGTTAACTGTAGCAGGGCCATTTCACATAAATTCTTCCAATGAATCAGACTATCATTTGCACATATGCCCTCCAACCCAGTGTCTATATTAAAGAAGCTAATAACCAAACATGAAGTCTCTGAAAGGCCTTTTATGTAATAAGATTTAGTAAAAGTTGTAAGGAAACTAACATACATTGAGAAAGGAAGTTTTAATTAGTAATGCATAATCTCTTCAAGCAAAACAGCGTGATTATAACTTAACATCAAGGAGGTTATCATTAATAATTTGTTGTTAATTTACCTCAAGTAGCTACTATTCAAAGTCACTGCAGTAGAATTTGTTTTGTGTATTTGAACTCCTACTGATTCCCTTTATTCAAGATTTATTACATGTATCCATAAAAAACTACCTCTTTCTTTCTTTAATAGGCAGCAAACTTGGTTTCTCTCTCTCTCTGTGGAATGAGAGATTTTATTAAGCTGGTCAGAAAGAATGAAGGGTTTCAGCAGGTAATTGCTAGCACAACTCCACATTAGCATACTGGTGACTAAATTTAAAAAATATGAACTCCCAGATAATTTAAAACCTTAAGAACTGTAATAAGGTTAAATTAATTCAAATTAATGCTCATCAAAGACATTAGGGTTTGGGACCAAAAAAGGCACTTGTATGTAGGTTAGCCAGCTATCCTCTGCAACAGAGCACAAACCTTATGTAACTATTCTAACAGTCCCGCTCAATCTCTTGGATGGTTTACAGTTAGATATCTGTCAATTTGATGAAATGGGATCTCGGACAATTGCACTTATGTGACCTTCTTCCCATTGTTGGGCTAAGTTTCTGGAAACATCAATTTTGGTAGAGCAGTTGTTCAAAACAGCTGTCTTGAAAAGTCAAAAAAAGGACTTTTTACTAATGAAGCAAATGTTAATGTTAATACCCCACTTGATGATCCAAATTCTAGCTCATATGTTACTGCGAAAAATTCTGCTTCAGCATTCAAAATACTACTATTATGATCAAACAATTTCAGTTACTATTAGCGCAATTATTAAATGAATTACACTTAAACTCTTAAACCATGTTCATGGTTCTAACTAGCTCTCCAACTATACTTATTTTGTATCTCTATAAATAAACTGTATGGTCCTTGAGGCATACAACTTAAATTATAATGGTATCCTCTAAGCCAGTAGTTGTTAAAGTTTGTGGTTTGGGGATTGCTAGAGGTTCTCAAATATGTTCTCGGGATTTGCAAAGTCAAGACTATTTTTATAATGCTAAGTGGTTATTTGCCTTCTAATATAAATTTGAGTTTTCATTTCTAATATGGTAAATATCAAATCAACTCATATAAATAAAAGCTTTTTAGGGTCCTGAATATTTTTTAAGAGTATAAAGGGGTGCTGGGACCAAAAAGTTTGAGAAATGCTGCTCTTAACAGAATAGTGCAAGACTCTGCCTTATGGAACTCTCAATAAATACATGCCTCCTTAAGTGCTCCTTAAACATATATCCATATGTTATTTTAGACAGTCTCTATACTTGGAATCAGGCAATAAACTTAGTACTTTTCAGGTATACTACAGTGTACATGATCATTAACTACTATAAAAGACCCAGGTTCATTTAAAATTAGAATTGTGATTTAAAAACTATTTTATAGAACTTGTTGGAGTAATACTTCAAAATGTAGAAAGATATAACTCTAAAGTGAAAAAATATTCCTTCATGTACACTAAAGACAATTTTCAATCACTTTATTACTTTTTAGGAGGTAGTTTTACTTCAATCATAATCAGAAGAAAAAATGAAATATGACCACCATTTGTATATTCTTTTAAATAAAATTAGAAAGTATAATGTGACAGGTTTTTAAAAATTATGCCAGGAAAACACATCTGATTCAATTTCTAAAATAAAGTACAATGTTTTAGATATAATAATCACAAATTATAAAGGCTTGCCAAGCAGGTCTATAGAAATAAACATAAGGGAAGTCTATCAGCCCAACAAGTTTGCTTTCTTTTATTGACAATGTGTTTTAAATCATATCATAAGCCATACAATTCAACTATAAACATGAATCAAGATAATATGCTACATTTTGAGTGAAAATTATTGTCCAGGGCATCTAAGTTCTAAATTAAAATATGCTAATATTTCTAAATAAACACTCTGTCTCCTATGAAACAATGTTACCTACCTGGATGGCATATTCCAATCATTTAGATCGTTAAAAAGAAAGTTATTAAAAAATAATAGCCACAAGGAAGTGAAACTCTAATATCACCTTCATCAGTAGACAAACTCCAGCTTTAAGTATTAATGTAAATAGTCAGAGATGGGGTTTGGCTCATTTTGAGCAAACAAGAGCAAACTATTTGCAAGGGATAATAATGTAGTCTTGTTAGAAATGCATTATTCAGGCAGAGGGCTTCCTAAAGACGTGGGTATTCTTTTGGAAAAATCTTTGGATATACCTTTGTTGTTTCACAGAATGTTTAGGTTGAAGCACAAGAAAATGGAAAAGATCTTTATTGTATTTTAGACAGAACTGGTATCTGTGTGTAATTACCAAGTTCACCAGAATGTATCTGTCACAGACTTTATTAAACAATTAGACACTAGAAGCAGGTAACAGCTAACACATATTAATAGAACTAAACATGAAGGATTCCCCTAAATTACACAGCTGAACCTTCTCAATTTTGTTTTCTATATAGTATAACATCTATGATTCAATCACGAACAAAGTAGAAAATAAAATCAACAACAGCAGTATGTTTTCCAGTGAAGAGATGCAAGAGGATGCCAATGTGGCAGATTTTCAATCAAGTCTGAAGGTCTGTATAGATCCTTAGTTCTGCTAAATCTTTTTTTTTTTTTTTTTGAGACAGAGTATTGTTCTATCACTCAGGCTGGAGTGTGGTACTACGATCACAGGTCACTGTAGCCTCAAACTCTTGGGCTCAAGTGATCCTCCTACTTCAGTCTCTCAAGTACTAAGTAGCTGGGATTACATAGCATACACCACCAAGCCTAGCTTCTTCTTCTTTTTTTTTTTTTTAGGGACAGGGTCTGACCGTGTTGCTCAGGCTAGTCTTGAACCTCTGGCCTCAAAAGATTGTCCTGTCTTCACCTTCCAAGGTGCTGGTAATATAGGAATGAGTCACTGTGCTTGGCCTCAATCTTCTTTATTATGGCTGCGGATTCTGGTCTTGGCATAAATCAATTATTTGGCCTTTTGAATAAATTTATCCAATCTTTCGATATAATCAATCTAAACTAGTGCTTGACATAATTCCAGTTTTTGGACAGTAAGTGCATAGTTGCATATACCAAACAACACTGATACATGGCAAAATGAAGAAATGGCAAGCAGGACGAAAGCTAAGTGAAAAAGGAGGAGAGCTAAGCAGAGAAAGATATAATCTGTAAAATACAAAATGCACCTATGTAGAAATATGGAATGTTTGATACTAGAAAAAGCAGACTATCTGTTAAAGCTATCAGAGATGGGATTTGGTTCATTTTGAGCAAACGAGAGGCACAGAGATACCAGTAACAAGCCCTTTAACTAGCCCATCTTTGTAACTAAGCCCATCTTTGTAACTAATCTTTGAAAAAAATCAGGTGCTAGGCTGTAGAAACAGACAGCATGCCACAAATACATAGGTGCCTAGGCCAGGAACAGGGGCTCACACCTGTAATTCCAGGAGGCCGAGGTGGGTGCACTGTCTGAGCTCAAGGGTTTGATACTAGCCTGAGCAAGAGTAAGACCCCATCTCTAAAAATAGCTGGGCACTGTGGCAAGCGCCTGTTGTCCCAGCTAGTCGGGAGGCTGAGGCAAGAGAATTGCTTGAGCCCAAGAGTTAGAGGTTGCTGTGAGCTAGGACGCCACGGTACTCCACTGAGGGCAACAAAGTAAGACTCTGTCTCAAAAAAAGAAAGAAAGAAAGAAATAGGTGCTTGAGTGGGAAAAGGGCAAATTGTGTAGATCTTGCCAGGACAGGTTTATGGGCATTTTCTGAAACTCCAAGAAAATAAAAGTAATGCATGTTATTAAAAATGGCCACTAGAAGGGAAATGAAAGAAATTCTCTAGCAAAATACAGTTTGGGAGTATCTTTATCAAAATGCTTGGGACCAGAAGCGTTCTGAATTTCAGATTGTTTTGGATTTTGGAATATTTGCATATACATAATAAGTTACTCTGGGGATAGAACCCAAGTCTATCATTTATGTTTCATAACCTGAATATAATTTCATATAATACTTATAATAATTATGTGCATGAAACAAAGTTTTGACTGTCACCCCTCCCATGAGATCAGGTGTGACCCCTCACTTATGGTGTTATGTTTGCATTAGAAGACTTTTGAATTTTGGAGCATTTCACACTTCAGATTTCACCATTAGGGATGTGCAACCTGTATTATTACTAGCACAATTCACCTGCAATACAGCTAGGGCTCAGGTTGGCAATAGTCACTTCTGATATCCAGGATCTGAAAAAAGGTTATTTCCCCTGTCATCACCAACCCTTTATATTTCTTTCAGAATTTCAGGGAATCAATGCTTCCAACTGTTGATAATTCTGTCTTTCTATAAGGAGTACATGTATTTGTGTTTATTTTTCTATTCCAGACTTAGCAGAAATGAACTGGCTCAGGGCTACAATGGATTGTCTTACTTCTTAAGAAAGGCTTAAGTAAGTTTGGAACTAGGAAACTTTTGGTTTTTCCTATTTCCATCTGTTCCTGGGCATCCCTAAAGCCCTCCAGTGATTCTAACCTCTTAAATCCTGCTGTGTGCGAACGCCGCCCATACTCTGTCTTGGCATTCGAAGAGAAGTTCTCAAAGGTGTATGTCTCTGTTCATCCAGGTAAGCAAGGTCCTCCAAGTGGGCAGAGCTGGTAGCTGACAAGAAAGAAAAGTTTAGTTAAAATATCTAAGTCTAGAAAACTTCAAAGTCTGTATGCCTTAAACTTTGGAATCAGGATTTACTTCAGCACAAAATGCACATGTATAAGTTTTTTTAAAAACAAATAAATGGCTTTTTAAAAAAATTGTAAGCCTTCATTTCACTTGCTATTTTAAGACAGGACATTATAAATTTGTATTTGCTAAGAGATTCTATAACCTTAAACAGAGACATACAGTATTTCCCATTCAAATAAGGCAACAAGCAAAATAAAAAAACTAAACATAAAACTTCACTTTGTAAATGTAATAGATAACGGTAAAGATTTGAGATTTAAAATGAAAACAAACTGCTAGTCAACAGCTTAAAATGCCATTTTGCTTTTGAATGCCTGATTCATGAAAGCTGCAATGACAGCAAAACAACAGAAGAGTTCTTTCTTTCTTTCTTTTTTATTTTTTTTAAAGAGACAAAGTCTTGCTCTGTTGTCCAGGCTAGAATGCAGTGGTATGATTATAGCTCATTGCAGCCTCAAACTCCTGGGCTCAAGAGATCCTCCCATCTCAGCCTCCTGAGTAGCTAAGATACAAGCAAGTGCCACTATGCTCAGCTAATTTAAAAACAATGCTTTTAAGAGATGGGATCTTGCTGTGTTGCACAGGCTAGTCTCTCAACTCTGGTCTCTAGTGCTCCTCCTGTTTCAGCCTCTCAAAAGAGCTGGGATGCTCCATCATGTCCAACCCCTAAGATTATCTTTCTGTGGCTGCTGTGTCTCAAATGATTTGCCACCAAACACCAGGAGGTGTATTTCTGTATGGGAGAGATTGCATCATGTATTGAGATTACATGGTCCTCTGCCTTGAAGACTTTATAATCCAATGGATGTGTGCTACTTTACCTAATAGTTGATTATAAATGAGCTCTTTAATAGAAATTAAGAAGCAAAATTAGATGAGGAGATAGCTGAGAATTCTCTCAGCATATGGAAACAAACATGCTGATGGCAAGTAAAGTTGCCTCTCCAACTTACATGTAGGTTGATTACGGTAATTGACCTTGAGTAGTGATATTTGTTAATTTGTTCATTTATTCATTCAACAAAACTGCTAGTAAAAAATGTCAGCACTGTAAATGTATCATAATAATGCTTTTATCATGGTTTCTAATCAGTCTACAGGAAGGAAGATGAGTGAGTAAACATTCTACTAAAGAATGTAGGCTCGGCGCCTGTGACTCAAGCGGCTAAGGCGCCAGCCACATACACCTAAGGTGGCGGGTTTGAACCCCCAGCCCAGGCCCACCAAACAACAATGATGGCTGCAACAAAAAAATGGCTGGGCATTGTGGCGGGCGCCTGTAGTCCCAGCTACTTGGGAGGCTGAGGCAGGAGAGTCGCTTGAGCCCAGGAGCTGGAGGTTGTTGTGAGCTGTGATGCCACGGCACTCTACCCAGGGGGATAGCTTGAGGCTCCGTCTCAAAAAAAAATAAAAAAAGAATGTAGCAGACAGTATGTAAGAGAATGTTTTATTAAAACTATAGGAATAGAATGACACTTAAAGTAAGTTATTAGTTTTATATGTTCAACTTTTTGTATTTAATAAAAGTTGTTTGCAAATTTTGTAAAATATAAAGTTAGTGTGGACTTAAGCTATTACTAATCTTTCCCATAGAAACTCCTAGGAAAATAAACATCACTTTTATCATTTTGATTTATTTCACAAAACCAAGAAATAGGGTAAATATAGTTTAAAATGAGCACATTTCTCAATTTGAGCCAGATGACATTAGAAGAAAAAGAAAATATTGCCATTCCTGAGCTGAATGAATAGTTCATTCCTTCACAAATCCAAATACTCATAGGTAAACAGAACTAAGGAAAAGCTATATCAAGCACAATAGCTCTGGAGCCTGGATTCAGATGAGTAATAGTAAATGGAGAAATATGGCTTTAGTCAGGGGCTGCAATAAAATTATGGTTGGTGTTATCTACCATTCTTTTTCTTGTTTTAGCAATTAATACTTTCTTTTTTGTTGGTTTCTGAATCTATCACTATTTTCTTCTTTAATTTTTTATATTGAAATATTAAAGGGGTACAAATGTTTTTGTTACATCGAAGTCAGGGGTTTTGGTGTGTTTGTTACTAGCATAGTATTCAGGTACCTACCCAATAGCTAACTTTTAACCCCACACCTCACCTTCCACTCTCTCCCCTTTTCGGTTTCCAACATTCTTTATATCTCTTTTTGCCTGTGTGTATCCATTATTTAGCTCCCACTCATTAGTGAGAACATGTGATGTCTGGTTTTCCTTTCCCGAGACATTTCACTTAGGATAATCATCTCCAGTCCCATCCAAGTTTCTCACAACAACATTATTTCATTTCTTTTTCTGGTTGATATTTATGTACCACATTTTCTTTATCCACTCATAAACTAATGGGCACAGAGATTGGTTCCACTTCTTTGCAACTGTAAATTGTGCCACAATAAACATGAGTGTTGGTGTCTTTTTTTTTTTTTTTTTAATAAAATGACTCATTTTCCTTTGGGCAGATACCCAGCAGTGGGATTGCTATATTGGGGGGCAGGTGGACATTTATTTCTTTGAGGAATTTCCATATTGTCCTCCATAGAAATTATGTTAATTTGCAGTCCCACCCTATCACTATTTCCTTTATCAAATAATACAAATCACTTCCTACTGCCTTTTTTTATTAAAGAATTATTCTCATTAGTCCTATTTTCAGTTTTTCTCTGATTCATCATTTTCAAAATTCTTGTCCCTTAAAATACATTAATTAAACCTATGAGACAAATATTGGAAAGATCAGCTGGGAGACACAAAATTCTACTAGCTGCTGCCCTTTGTTCTGCTACTTATATCTCCTTTGTCTTTTTGCTCATAGTCACTTGAATTTTTTCCATTTTAAACTTATCTTTCCCTTTGTTAAAACTTTGCTTAGGCTACACTTTCTTTGCTTCTTTGATCAATTTCCTACTCAGAATTAACTGTTCCCCTATTTCAGCAACTACATACATATACTGCTATCTATAACTTTTGTTATTCAGCTAGTTGTATGTGTATATGTCTGTCTTCCCAAATCGACTGCAAGTAGGTTCTTGAAGGCAAGAAGCAATGCCTGATTCATCTTTGATCACTCTATCCCTTCTGAGTAAATGAGAATGTCCTGCATATAAAGCTCAGTGTAGACCTGAACTTCAGACTAGTCCTACTTAGATTTAGTAACCTATCTGGCTCTATCCTCATCCTATTGCCTTGGCGGCTTAATGCTTAATAGACATTATCATAATAATTATTCCACCTCAGTGATGTTCATATTATCTTCAGATACTGCCGATCCCACTTTTACTTTTTCCCACAGCATATGTCACCTTCTAGCATACTATATAAATTTTTATTATGTTTATTTTACTTTTCTCAACTAGAATGTAAGTTTCCCAAGGGTGAGAATCTTTGCTTATTTACAATATTTCAGCACTCTGAACAGTGCCTCGCATGTGATATATGCTCAATAAATGCTTGTCAGTGAATGAATAATTGCATTATATGTACAATTCATGTTGCAGATACACTTAAACAATAAACAAGTAACAAATTAACTTTTGTTTACTGGGTTATTTTGAAGGAGGTGGCTACAGCAACAATGCCTTGTATACATCCTCATTCCCTATAAACACTGATTACAGGGAAACATATATTCCCACCTTATAATGCTACTGTTACTGTGAAATTATACTGGCAAAATTTTTTAAAATAATTCTGTCGGAATTAATTAATGCTGTAATATTTAATGAACAATTTACAGATAATAATTAGGTGAATTCAAGTGAATTAATAGAAAAACAAACCTACAGTAAAAATTTTTATATAAAATGAAAAGCATTACAAGTAAATCCATAAATTTCTCATTAAAAAGATTTGTTTTTAGAGAAGAAAAGGAGAAAAGCAGCACATTATTTTTGGAGATTTTTATCAGATTATAACAGATGACATCTAAAGCATTTAATAAACGTGCTTTTTAAAAGTTAAAATCATTTAAATACACTATAAATGGGGAGAAAAAAATCCAACAGACAACATTTGGCATAAAACATTTCAGGGACAACTCTATACTGAGTTTGGAAGCCAGTCTGAACTGCTTTTTCTTTTACAGCAGCATAACCGTTCTTCTGGCTGACCTGAGCAGGAAGCCCGGAATGACATTTTATCTGTGCTACTGCATGGGCAAGAAGCCACTCTGCTGTCCTTGTATCCTTGATACATAACACCAACATTCTTATTGCTAAAAAGCCCATTTTTGATTTTTTGGTAAAATCTGCGTTATAGTTTCTGACTGGATTTGTTTACATTTCCCATACTGCATTTACCTGAATCTTTAGATCCTTAGGAAAATGTGCAGCTCCAGGCATTAGTAAGTAGATGGTGAGAAGTTTAACTGACCTCTATTGTTTGTATGTTTTCCAGATAGACCTCTCACTCTCGCACAAAGCACTGACGACAGCTGCTGCAAGCAAACATTTCCTGCTTCCCACATCCCTCCAATTTATTGCCAATCTCATTTTAAGACACCAAGGATGACCATAGACAGCCTACTCTCTGATAATTTCTGCCATGCAACCACAAGTCCATAAGGATCTTCTATTTCCTTCCAACACATAGGCTTAAAAGCTAATACGCAGTAGCAAATGTTTGCAAACAATAAAACACATTTTTTCATATTTTAAAATTTTAACTGAAAGGTATTTAAACATCTAAGTTTATACTTAGAAAGCTGAGCCACTTCAGAAAGACCTAAGCCTCAATGCTGCAGACTGCCAAAACTCAATTTTAATCTCTTTACCATTCAAGTTAAAAGTTTTTGTTTTCACCGAATGTACTATCTTCAGATGTGGAACATGGAGCTTTTAATGGGTATATTTAAATGTTGACTTCACTTGTTTGAGTCTTTATATTTTAAAAAGTCAACAGTTGAGT